TCCTTCAACATAGTCTATGGTGATGGATGGAGAAAAATAAATGTTCAAGGGGTCTAGAACAGTAAACAAAGAATTGAGTAAAATCTGGAGAGAGTTGGGTCACAAAAACCTAGAATGACAATAGTATTTAACAAAAGGAATAGTCATTGATCCTGATGTTTCTGGGAGACAAAAAGGTTATTGGATTATATTTAGAAACAAATAATTTATTGATCACTTTAACAGGAGCTGTATTTTGGTAGCATTAGAGTTGAAAGTCAGACTGGAGGAAGAAGAGGTATGAGTAACAGTCAAAGAAATGGAGGCAGCAAATGCTGACACAACTTCTAACAAACTTGTCAGAGGTAACGTGAAGACTATGAGTGCTCCAATGAGAGTTTTCATTGATGTGGGCATGGCGGTGGTGGTGCTGCTGATGGTTTTAACTAATGCAAGACATTGACTATGCTTCAAAGCCAATGGGCAGGATAGAGTTGAGAGCAGTTAAATACACAATAAAAAAGGTAAAGTAAATAAATTAAGCTTTTTGAGAAGATGGGGCAATGAGATCTATAACATTAATAGCAGGACTATCTTGAAATGAAAAAAAAAGTACTTTTTTTTTGTACCAGGAAAGAAGGAAACTAGAATGAGCACATATGACAAGGGATGTGCCATCTTATATTTTTTTTCTATAAAATAGAGAACAAAATCATCTTCAGGTAAATAAGGAGGCTATAGCAAAAGACATTTGGAGAGCTTTGAAGCACCTTCTATAGATAGAAGGAAAATGAGTTCACTGGGTAAACATATTTGGATTTCTGTTCAGTATTGAACATCCATTTAACTGTGGTATGAAAGTACAGTGAAAACAATTTGTACTGTGGCTTTCTCCCCTAGTGCTTAGTTGGTTGGGTCTGGGCATTAAAAAGTAAACAGTCTGAGTCTACCACATTTGGCTTCTCTTTAAACAAGAACCACCCTCTGCCAAAGGCAAGGGATTTGGGATATTAACAAGAACATTCCTGAAATGATAGAAACTATGGAAATTTAGCTAGATAATAAGGGAACAAAAGAAAGAAGAAAGTGTATGGGTTGGGAAAAAGTAAAGAGATCAACTTATTAAAAGGCTCAATATGGTCTGAGAACAGTTGAGATGGGACTAGTTGCACAAGAAAACTGGAAGAAAATGTGTTTGTAGGTTTGAATTAGTGATTTTGTCAGTGAAGCAACTGTGCACAGTGATAGGTCCAAGATGTGACTGTGAGAGTACATGGCTGAAATGGAGTGGAGACCGTTAATGGAGACGAGAGTGGAAAGACCTAAGAGCCCAGGTATTGGATAGGTCACCTACATGGTCACTGAAATCACCCAGGACTCTATCAGTGTTTAAGCTGCATAAGGGAGCCAGAGATCAACATTACAAAGAATAATGGATAATGGCAGGGAAATTAGAGCAGGAGTCAGCAAACTTTCTCTGCAGGGCCTGATAGTAATATTTTAGGCTTTTTGTTTTATACAGCCTCTGTTACAACTACTCAACTCTGCCTTTATAGCATGAGAGCACCTCTAAACAATATGTTACAATAAAACTTTATATAAAAAATCAGGCAGCAAGCCAAATTAGGCACACAGGCCATAGTTTTAAACCTCTGGATAACAGGGATGAATTAGGGGAACAGGGGATTGTTCTGTTTTTCTCAAAGTGCGTTACACACAGCTGGAAGTACCTGAAATAATTTTAAGGGATTAAACTCTTAAGTGAAAAAACTTAAAAACTCTTAATTGTGGAAAATGTCAAACATATATAAAATTATATATAATGGTACCTTGGGCTTTCAGGTACAAATAGCCATATACCACTACCAAAATTGAAAAAAAGAAACCCTAGTAAGTCCTTAATGTTATTAAATATCAAGTTGTCCTCATAATTTTTATTTTTACATTTTGTTTAAGATCCAAATAAGCTCAAAGTATTGTGATTATTTAATAAACTTCTCCAATCTGAAGACTATTTTACATTTCTTATTTTTCTTTTGTAATATTATTTGTTGAGTAAATCCGATTATCTACAGCCTGGTTATCCCCATGGTATTTGCATGTTCCTCCTTCGCCTTTTTGTTAGATACAGAATTTTGATCATGGTAAGGTTTTTGTTTTTATATTGTGTTTTTTGGGAAGAGTACATCATAAGTAGTATTGCACAATTTCATCAGAGGCACACAAACAGCCACTGGTAAGTATTGCCTGGATCTATTAATTCATTATGGATTGCCAAATAGATGTTCTAATTCTATCATTCCTTCAATTATTAGCTGAAGTATTTCTACAAAGAGTAACTTCCTCTCACCCACCAATTATTTATCTGATGTACAGTAGTTTACATATGAAAAGCAGAATAGATACTTACTTGAATCTTTCCCTTTATTTATCAATTGTAGAAATAAATTGGTTCACCAGCACTCTTAAGTGATGCTATTTTGTGCTAAATGTCATGAATTCACATGAATTTAAACACATTAATGAGTTTTGATTCACTATTGTTACTATCTTTATTATGCTAAAAATGCCCCATATATAAATGCTATTAACCCTTTGTGATATAAATTGCAAATATTTTCCCAGTTTGTCATTTATCCTTACTTTCTTATGACAATGTTTTCAGTGCAGAAAAAGATTTACTTTTAAGAAATAAAAATTATCACTCCTTTTCCTTGTTGGGCTTGTTATGAATCATAGAGAAAGTTTTCCCCATTTCCAGATTACAATAACATTGAGATGTGTTATTTCCAACACTTGCATTATTTTTTTAACATTTAAATTTGTAATGTTTGGTTTCAAGTGTAAAAAAAAAAAAGGCACCTAAATTTGTATACATCCTTAATAGTTTTTTTCTATATTTGCTGTTTTTTTCATTTTTGTGACTTATTTTAGGAATTCTCTGTTGACCTATTTTTCAACTCAGGAACCCATCTTTTGTGATGTCCAATAAATTTTCAATCCCATCAAATTGCTCCTTAATTTTTGATATTATATTTTAGGTTATTGTTTTGACAGGTTTTTAATTCCTCAGTGACATCCTCAAGATATAACAAAATTTTTAAAATGTAATACTAACATATTTGGACAATGTACATTAAAATATAACTAACATATAAAGTGGATTTCACAAATATTAGTGCTTAGCTAAGTCTCTGTTTAAAATAAATGTATGTAAGTAAAACAATTACAATAATTGCAAGAATAAAGTTAAATATGGTAATATGCAAATATGGCAAAAAATTGTGAAGCTGGTATACTAACTCCACTTGGAAGTACTGTTACAGCTAAATGACTTTAACCACAAAGGACAGACTTTTTTTTTTTTTTTTAAGTTATGGGGTTGGAATAATACTTGGAAGTAGCAATGGAGAGCAAGGAAGGCACTGACGGCACCTCCTGATCCTGAGGAAACAAGAGTACAAGAAAATAAACCACCACCATTTGAGAATGATGCAAGGAAGATGTTCCCTAATGGGAAAGCCCAGTTATAATTAAGAATAGGAAGAGGAAAGAGTAAAAAGAATAGCTAGAACTTATGAGAGATTAAAATATAACAAAGTTCTAAAGACTAGATGTAACAGTCTCAAATTGAGAAATAGTGATATACTGTTCATAATAATGAGAATGTTCATACCCCATGATTCATTCATTATGCTTCTGGGAATTTTTCTAAAGTAGCTGAATGGTCAGAAGAAAGCTATTAGTATAAGAATGGTCTTTGCTATATATTAATAGACTGTAATAGTTTAAGTAAAGCAAAAACACAAACTGAAAGAGCATAATTACTCAATAATTGCAAGTGACTAAACCAATGATGATGGGCATCTATGATGGAATGACATAAAGCCTCTAAAAATTCCAACCACAAATAGTTTAAGAATCATGCAAAACTTTTTTTAGTAAAAATCACAGGCAACATTTGTTGGTTAATAGGATTTCAAAGTATGAGAAACACATGTATGCAAACAAGATTTGTATAGATATAAAAAATAAAATTTTTAGGATTTTAGGATGATAGAGTTGTTTGCATTATAAATTATTATTTGATGCTATTATAGTTTAACCAAAAATGTATATATACATGTATAAAAATTTCCCCCCTCAAAAGACTATAAACAGATATCTATCTCATATCACCTTAAAAATGCAACTACCGAATTTGTTAGAGATGCTTCCTCAAACTTTCCTTATATACTTTTCTGTACCATTCCTTCTTTGAAGGAATGTTTATAATCTCTATAAAGACAATTATGAATACAGGGAGAAGATCAGTGGTTGAGAGCAGTTTGGTGGAAGGGAAGGATGAATAGAAGAAGCATAGACAATTTTTAAAGCAGTGAAATTATCCTGTATGATAACACAATGGTGAACACATGTCATTATATATGTGTCAAAACCCATAGACTGTACAACACCAAAAATGATCTCTAATGTAAATAAACTATACACTTTGGGTGGTGATGATGATGTGTCAACATATGTTCATTGATTGTAACAAACATACACTGTTATTAGGAATGTTACTAGTGGGGAAGTTTGTGAAGGTATGGGGCTAAGGGTTATATGGGAACTCTCTGTACTTTCCATTCATTTTCCTCTTTTAGATTCACGGATTTAGAAATATTGTCTATTAAAATTTAAAAAGACAGAGGCTAAGTTTCAATGTTTTATATTCTATCTGATTAAGGAAATGTGATCTGAAGACTAAAGCGTGAATTTGGAGGTAAAGTAGAAGAACATGCCAAATTATGAGCTGGATTCTTTTAGGATAAATTATCTACAACTTCTCAGTGATAATTATTCTCAGTGGCTCTGTTTTGCCATTTATACAATGAGGACTGTATTGGGATTTTGCCTCTTTACTCCATAGGTATGCCCTGAGGATAAATGAATCTTTTACTAAAGCGGTTCATTTGATTAAAAGTGCTTTATAAACCGGTCACAGATCCATGTCTTTTCCACCTTGTGTTTTGTTACAGTTACACAGGATGAATGGAGAAGGCACAATATAAAAGAAATAGAGTTAAATCAGACTCTGGAAATACCATGCTTGCAAAATATCAACTCAGAAATTTCATCTGAGTTCACCTTTGCATGGTTGGTGGTAAGTGTTGCCCTTTTCAGTGGATAACTGCAATGATCTTTAAATATTAATGAAGTAAAAATGAATAACAAATAATAATAGGGAAGGAAACATGCTAGATGAGACGAGTATTATGTGTTAGGTTGGGGAATGGCTGTGGTAGAGGGGTGCACTCAGCAAGTCTCCGAGTCTGTGAATGCACTCATTTAGAAATGAGTTTCTAAAGGTTAGTTTCTATTTCTATTTCAAGCTATATACCAAGCTCGGATTATAGGAAAGAGCATGATGCAGCCATGGAGAGGAGCCACATCCAGTAGAAGCCTCTACTCACAAATGTTTGTTTTACAAGCATCATATGCCAAAGGATAGATCCCCTTTTCTCAGAATATTTACCATCACATCCTGGGAAATAATACCATTGCTTTAGATTGAGAAATGCTAAGTCTAATGCTTATAAAATGCAGGTGGAAAGTGTACCTGATAGAAGCAGGACCTATTTACAAACAGCCACTGTGCAGCTCTATCACTGCCACAGGGACCAGCAGACCCATAGTTGCCATGTTTTCTGACTTCAAAAAAACAAAATCCGGAAATCTGGATTTGCTATGAGAAATTTTCTAAGGCAAGCCAATCAAATAGCAGCCAGCTATTAGCCAATATACATAGTAGACCCCTAATACTGTTCTATCAGATGATAATGTTACCAGACTGAAGGGGCCCATTTGCCTGTGCATGTCAAAGCCCAATAACACATGAACAGGAGTTTGCAGCCAGTAAAATAAGGATTCATTAAGATGGTACCCTGCTTGGAGTCACAGGTAGCTCACACTTAAAGCCAGGCTCCTCAATGGCTTCCAGGGGATGGATTATTGCAGAAAAAAATCATTAATCATGGTGACTAAAGTAGTTAAGGTGGTGGTCTGTACTGCTAGGTTGGTGCTAGGGTAGGGGGTGGTTGATCATTGCATCTGGTCCTGATGTTGGCCACGGAGTGGTTCTGACTAACTTCTCAAGGTCTTGTTCTGTGGGATTGTTCTGTTCTCCTGGATCTGGAGTTAAAACACAACTGAGGCCAAGATATTATGTTTAGTTTGACTGAAAACTCTGTCTTTGTAGTGAATAGACCCAGAACCTTGTTCCTACAACTACTGGGTGCTGACCAGAACCTCACTGTCCTGGGGGCTAATGCTCACGCAAGGGGGAGGGAGGTGGGCGAGTCAGGATGCTGGATGAGGCCAGTTGGAAGCAATGGAAAAAATCAAAATAAAAGGTAGGATTAAAGAAAATAAGGTTTCTGCATGGTTACAATACCATGACTAAAGTATTATAAAGAAAATTTAAACACAATTTTGAGAATCACATGAATGTTCATTTAGATATTCCAGAGTACAACTATATATATTTTTAGATTGTCATCACAATAAAAACACAAAATTCAAAAATTCTTACAAAATTCATACACCTTCATGAATGCAGCAACTGATATGGTTTGCAAAAGACTGTATTTGTGGGATTTAACATTAGTATTACAAATTACCTAGATTTTGTATGGACTCTCTTGGAAACCAGATCATTTATATAAAAAGATTTCTCTGGTGATGTGGCAAATCCAGCATAACTGACTTGCAAATAGGCTTTAAAATACAACCTACAGATCACTTTTCACTCTCTCGGTATTTTTTTGGTAGTCAGTAGGAGGAAAAGAAAAAAATAGTCTGAAATAACTTTCTCAAACTCTTCTAAATTTTACAATGTCTCTTGGTCATCTGTCAGAAAACACTTTTCCTTTCATGGGGTTTTGTTTCTAAAATATAAGGGTCCCTAGGCATTATGCCCATGGTTAATGTAAGTCAATTGTTCTTAACAAACAGATACAACATGGTTCTTAGAAAAAGATTATAAAGTGGAGATGACCTCAGAAGGGCGGAAACTCACCACATCAAACACGACAGTACGGAAATGCGCTTTCTATACCTTGCTTACATTTTTAATATTTTCCGCCAACAGGCAAAAAGTTTCCACCCTAATGATCATAAATTCAACTATCAATAAGAATAGTAAAGATTAATAATAATGAAGTTTAATGAACCTTTACTATAGAGGTTTTTGCTGGCTAGTAGGTTGATCTGTAGTGCCTTATCTTTAGGGTATGTGACCTGTTTTTCCAAGCAAATATAAAGCTATCACTTGTGTAACTCTGAGCATCTCCAGAATAAAAACCTTCATCACTCACTTCAAAAATTCCTAGCAGTTGGTATAGTGCTAGAACATAGGCATTCAATGAATAATTGAATGGATCTCTTTCTCTTCGTCTTCTTCCCTCACAGTTCTATTCTTTATCTTCATATTAAATTGATGGTCACTAAATTGATGCCAGGCATTTGATCAGTTAATGATTAGCAGCTCATTAAGTATCAGTGACTAGAAAACTGAAAAGGCACTCTTGTCTAGTAGTTTTCTTTAAAGAAACTAAGAAAGCTAAATAGACATCATCTTTAGATCCTGCGAGGACATTTAAGATAAATGAGGGGCAGAGAGCGTGCCTTAAGGTCACACACTGAGAATGAATTCTAAACTTCTGCTGGAACCTCAAGCCATGCTGTCACTTTAACTAATGCATCTTGATACAGACAACTTGAGGTATCTTTTTTAAAGAAGCCTCTCTTCAAAGGGAATATTATACTGGCAAACGTGCTGATTAAATTCCTACTGTGCCTTCCATTTTTAAATGCCAAAAACTCTTTGCTCTTCTGATTTACATCTGTGCTCCATGCTGTTGACAGCTGCGGGATTCAGCGAGCCTGATATGAAATTATCTAATTTTCTCATATTAAGGAATAAACTGCAGCTTTTTTTATGTCATGACTGTTATACATCCTCAGAGGACATAAATATCCTTTCCAACTGTATTTTAGTTCTTTAATCTCTTGTTAAACTAGCAACAGCAATCATAATGATAAGCCAGTTGTTCTCACAAACATCATATAATGTGGCTTTTAGAGAAAGATTAAAATGTAGAGATGGGAAGATGAGCTCAGGAGGGCAGAAACCTGCTATACTGAACCGAGTAACTCCAGGAAGCTGCACACGTTCCCACTTCAAGTCTGCGTTAAACCCTGGAAACTATGTTACAAACTAAAATTATTTTAATCTAAATCTCTGGAAAATAAAAGCCATGTCTTCCTATATGTGGAATTTTATAGAGTCGAATTAAATCAGTTATGACCCTCATGGAGAAAGTTATTATTGGGATTCTCGGTTTCATTAGAAAATTACTATTTGGTATATGTATCTGATCCCATACTAAAGCTGGGTTAAACATATTCATGGAATGGATCCTTTGCATTTCAGGAAATTACCTTCCAGAACTGTGACTCCACTGAAGTAGACAAGCATCAGACACAAATAGACAGGGTTTCCAACACTGATCTAGCATGAGAGATAACTAAGTGGACACAAAGAGTTAACTTTTCAGTGTCCAGTGAGGGTCTGTGTGAATAGTGGAGTGGTGTATAAGAAATCACAGAATACATATATGTTTAGATGGGATGCAGATGATAGATAAAGCACAGGTGAAACCTTTCCCATTTTATGTCCAGGGGCACAAACACAGTCATCAGGGCTTGTTCTACATACATTCTAATATTCTGTTTCCATTCCAAATTATTGTCCTGATTACCGACAGTACAAATTTCAATTCAGTTCAATAAACATATATGAATCTGTTTGGAGCACTAGGTCCTGCAGGGGTACAAACTATAATGGATATAGTTCCTACCATGAAATACAATTTTGATAAAAATGTTTTTAAAAAATAGGAAAAATAATTTGATTCTTACTAGATGGGCCGGAGATAACTTCCTTCAAAAATTATGTTTACACTGAATAATTAAAAATCAGTTGACCAGTAAATGATAGACATGTACTAAGATCCTGGGGCCAGTGAGTACAAGTTGGTAGTTGGTGCAGGTGTAGGGTATTGAAGAAATAAATAAAAGTTGGTAGATAAAGAGAAACCCATGATATTTCTTTTTAAAGTCATGACAAGGAGAGGAATATTTCAGAAAACAGTTGAATATTAGGGGTAACAGCATATAACTCAAACTTAGGTGCTCATATTTTTTTTTAAATTTACCTATAAATGTGTTTTCAGTATACTGTTTTAAAATGTTTTCGATATTTTATATTTAAGCAAAGAGACAAATGATGCTAATAAACAATGCAGGTTTCCCATGCTTCTGGGAAGCCTCACTATTCAGAAAACTGTGGCCTTCTGCCTGATGACGGCTGACTCTAATTGTCTTCACCATAATTAAAATTAAAGTGCTAGGCAACCTACAAAATGTTGACAAGCAATTGTGATGACTGGAAAAACATTGTTCTGGTGCTCTACAAAGTGGACACGGGGAGCTTTGCAAGAAGCTGCTTTGATAGCCCTGACTGCGTGGAGAATAAATGGAGGAAATGTGAAGATAGGAAGCAATTTGTAGATAAACATGTAGCAATCAATACTGTTAACAGAATTTATTGAATAAGTTGTATACACTCAACACCCACCATGTGCTGTGGTCCATGCCACCAACTCTGACATGAAGCTTGTGCCATCCCAGAGATAAAATAATATCACTAAATCAAGTAGTAACACAATCCCTTTTCTAAATTGAAAATTCTGGTTCTAGGGCAAAAATAAGAAAGCCTTCACAAATCATTTTCAGGTTTGTCAGGTCTTTAAGGGACATAGGGAAGCAATATCTCATGATTCAAAATGACCCCAGCCAGCCCTCATCATGCAAAGCATCTTATCCAACCCCTGTATGAAATTTAATTATTTGTTTATTTCTCTTCTATGGGTATGATTTTGTATTTGTTTTTCTTGTGAATGAGTTCCTCTCAAATAGACTCTAAGCAGAAAAGGCAAGATGTTTATGTTTATGCTACTATGCTTGTGAGGCCATATATTGCAAAGTTATCAACATTGTGACTTTTGGAGGGAAATTGTTGTTTTAAAGTCCTGTCTCTACCATTTACTAGTTCTGTGACCCAAGAGCTAGGATTAGGGTACATAGGACTCTCACCTTGGGTACAAAATTTAAGGGAGTGCCCAAAACATCAGGAACCACAATATAAATATTAATGAAGTATTTTTAAAATAAAAATTTAGGGAAAAATCATGATGTATCAATGTTTTAAATAAAGGCAGACCCAGCTACTCTGTTCAAGGAATGGTGTTTCCCAACCAGCCTGTGGTTCCTGAGCCTTCAGGGTATCATGTCCCCAAAGGGTGCATGTCTAAAAGTTGCCAGAGGAGAAGACATTGAGCAATGCACAGCTTTATGTAGCCATCTGAACAAAAAATTAACTGTAGAATTTTTATTAACTTTTCCACTTAGTCAAAATATAGTAGGATAGTTTGATAAGTGCATATAGGGGCACATGTTTTTCCTTTTGTCTCAGAATTCATATCTTGGATATGTTGCCTAACCTGAGTTTTAGGATAAAGAATAGTCATGAAGAAGCTGATTGATCCTCAGTGAGGCTGGAAGGCAGTCAGTTTGTATTAATTGATATATCAAGTGTCAGGTCTAGTAGAAGTTAATTAGTTCAGTCTACATTTCCCATTAAATCATAAGGGTCCATCAAACTGAGCATCCCATGAAGTTTTAGAAATATTTATTCCTAGTTTATACAGTTGCCAAAATTATTTCTTTAAAGAACAAGAAGGAAGGAACAGGCAAGAATAAAGACTCTGTAAAATAAGATCCCCTTGCCAGTCTGTTCCCTGCGAACCCTAAGGTTATCATTACCAGGTAGCAGTAGAAGTGCACTCTATGACTCCTGCAGTCATAGGGCATAAGACTCCCAGGGCCCTTTCAATCAGCAAATTGTCCACACCTCTGGAGTCCATAACTTATACAAAGGCCTCTTGCCTCCTGGAATTTCTTTTAAAATTTTCCATTTCTGATCCTCCTGAAAGGTTTGTGGCTCTGTGTGTGTGTGTGTGAGATGGTTTTGTTTTCATCACCGTGTGTTGTGTTGGAGGCATCCCTGCTTTTTGATGCTGTGACTCAAGTACCTTCTTACGTTGTGTGACCTTTGAGTAAGTTATTTAACCTCAGTTTACTTCAGATTGCTGTAAGAAGTCAATAAGACTTGGAAGGCACAAAGTAGACAGGGGGAGGTTAAGAATAGTATAGGAAATGGAGAAGCCAAAGAACTTACATGTACAACCCTGGACATGAACTCTGTGGGGGGCATTGCTAGGGGGTGGGGGGTGGGTACAGAGCAGATGAGGATAAAGGGAGAAAAAATGGAACAACTGTAATAGCAAAATCAATAAAATATACTTTAAAAAAGAGAGAGAGAGAGAGAAATCCCAGGCAGGAAAAGAAAACAGAAGACCTGAAAGAACTTTACCCAATGCCTAAAAGAGTAGGTGCTAAATAAATTTAAGATATGACTAATAAGAATATAAAATTTTAGCAGTGGTTGTAGCATGATAGGATTCGTAATATTTCTCCCCTTTCCCAGCTCTAGACATTTCAATGTTTGGCTGCATTAGATTTTTCCACCTCTCCTCCCATTTACTTCTTGAAGGCAGCCACTCATGTGCAATCTTGCCTTACTTGGCCCCTTTCAGCATCTCTGAGTGTTGTAGGTTACAAGGCTTACTTTGCAACTGAATTGCTTCTTTCCCAATGAGGGAAAAAACCCTTCCCTCTGCAACAGTCAACTGCCCAGAAAACCACACTAATTTTAAAAAACCTTTGAATAAATTGGGTTTTTGTTTTGTTTTTAGTATATCTTTCCTCCACCAATTAAATCACCCTGGCTAGTTACACGCTACAGGAAAAGGCATATTCCATATCTGCAAATGCTGAGGAAGATGCCACCCATACATAAGGCTAATTTTGGAGTCCTTGTCTCCAGAAAATAAGCTCTCTTCCTTTAATTTTCTGTACCGTTCTTCAGTAAGGAGGCAGCAGAATAGAATCGTAGGTCCTTCCTTATATGACTATAAAGGCATGTGCATTGCTGTTTGTGAAGCTGAACCAATCTTAGCCATAGTCACTTAAAGAATTGTGTCTTATGTAAGATTTTCTACTAAGTATGTTCTGGAAATATTTATGTAAACTATTTGTAAAGTCTATGTTTATGTTTCCACTGTTTCTGCTACCCGCCCAAACTTGAATTCTCTCTCACCTGGTTTCCATTTCTTCTACCCTGAATCTGTCTCATTTTTTAAACTAGAGATTCCAAGTCAGATCTTTGTTTTCATTATTTCATGGCTTCATCCCCATCAGATGCACTCCTATTCACTCTTCTCCACTTCAGTTCCCTCCATTTTCCCTGACCACTGTGCATGAGTTTCATCTGTCATTTAGAGTTAGACCAGTGGTTCTCAGGTCTGGTTCCTCTGAGGGTCTTCAAAAAAGTAATGCCCCAACCTGGGTGCCTCCCTAGAACACCCAGATCATATCTTCAGAGGAGAAGCTTATGCATCTGAATGTTTTCAGAGCAACTCAGTTGAGAATATTGAGTTATACTAAAGGGGCATAAGGATATAATCTTTCCTTGACTCTTGTGCCCCTCAAGAGTCCTCTCCTCACTGGGCCTTAGCACAGTTATTGACATTGACCAACACTGTGACATTCCCAGGACATTGTCCATGGAAATTTGGGGTAAAGCAAGAATAATAAGGGCTTTTCTTCACAGACCCAAGAGAGGATATGGAATAGAGAAACATGTACTCCATATGAACTCAGATCTCCAAAGTTCAGATTAATATTTACAGCCTACTCTTCATGTGTCTTCCTTGAAGGTAACTCAAACACAGAAATAAGGGCAGAAGGGAAAGGACCATGACCAAGGTAGGAGGAAAGGAGATGCCTACAGCACAAAATTTAAGGAAGCACTCACCCTCAGGTGCCCAGCCTGTGTTTACAACACTGAGAGCAAGTGCCTCCTTAACTTTTGTGCCTTATGAGTTTCCTTACCTCGTCCTAGCCTTGGCCCTAAAATGAGACCTTTTCTAAAGTAATGGTGGGAAGAGAGGGCAAAACTATAATCATCCAGTTCAACTGAAAATTTTATAAGCAAAACTTATAAAGCTTTCTCAGTACATCCTAGGAATAAGATTTCTGAACCTGAAATGAGAATTATGATCTGTCATTAGCTCCCAGTGCTGTGCTCTTCAAATCTCACCCAGACACACACCTTATACAGGGTTACAAAGGGGAAGTTCTAATCAGAAGAGCAAGTTTCCACTTATATTAGGAGAAGGTGACAATAGTTTTTAAGTGAAAGTCAAGGGTAATGATATTTTGTCTAATAACATACTAAATAAATCTTAATTTCAATTCTTTATTCATAATCTCTATTTTTACAAGATGCAAATAAATTAATACTTGTGAGATATTCAGCTCAGCCCTGGCACAGTTGAGTGCTCAATAACTGGTAACTGTTTTTCTCACTAGGAGGATAATGGAACTGAGGAAACACTCATCACCCAAGGTCAGTCCATCAGCAATTCTACATTTAAAGACAGAGTCAAGCTAGGAGCAGACTATGGGCTCTACCTCTCTCCAGTACAAATCCACGATAACGACCGGAAGTTCTTTTGCCACGTTACAGTCAGGCCTGGCAAAACAATGAGGAGCTCTACCACGGTCAAGGTTTTTGGTAAGAGTTTTTGATCTTTGGACTCCCTGCCATCCTCTTGTCAATGTTGCCTGCCTAGCTTTTTCCCTAGAGAGGAAGCAACCTGTTACTTGGAGTACTGGGGCAAGGGTAACTATTCTGAAGTTCTATTTACCCTGACACTTATCATTCATGTTGGGGTTGGGGATAAGGATAAGAAGTACAACAATGATGATTCTCTTAATAGAATGAAATCACAAGGAAAGCCATAAATTGGTCAGTTTCCTGATGACCACTCCCTTATTTACAATTTTAATGTTTCCTAATAATACTGGAAATCTCTTTAACTGTAACTGCCAAAGTATAATTGCTTAATTGTCTAATTGCCTTAGTTGCTTGCTGGAGCAGGGCAGAATAAGGCCAGTGTGAAGAAAGAAAGATGATAAACACAGCTCCAGGGAAACCCGCAGGCGCCCCCTCACCTCGCGCTGTGGCTGAAGGCCGTCCCGCTCCTCCAGCAAAGGAGCCTACAGGGTCCAAATTTTGGAGGAGAATGTGGAAATTCTATTCTGCTCAGTGATGCAAGGAAATGTTAGTAAACAGAAACTCCTAGCTTTAATTTTTTTTTTCATCTTTGTGACTAAGAATTGTGTTTTTTAAAACAGCGTTTTTAAATTAAAGCCAAAGAGGAAAGCAGTGATGTGGATGAGCAATTGTTTTTGAAAATGATGCGAACAAAAAGAAATTAACTTTAAAAAACATAAGTCATGAATGACAGGACAAGTGAAAAAAAATTTGTTTTTACTGTTTACTTAGAGTCTTATTGCATTATTATTAGAGGTCACACAATTCAGTTTTTTGAAGGGAATGCCAGCTCTGTAGTTCATAGAAATATAGAAGCTACAGTGAAAATTAATACAGTTTGAAGCCTCTTGCTTATAGCTTTTCCTATGTTTCTCTCTCTGGCTCTCACCTTCTTCTTCCTGCCCTTTCTCCCTTCCTCCTTCCCTCTCTCTCCAGCTCTCCCCATGGATGTGCTGGGAAATCATCACTCACCCTAATGGTTAGGTTTCTTAAGAGCCTAAACGATATCCTATGAAAAACTGGAAAAAAGAATGTTCACCTCTTTCGTCAATTAGCACCCTCAGCTCTCTTACCGAGGTGTGACTCTCTTAGCACAAACATGAAATTGACTCATCTGGTCTGACTATTGGCAAATCAATGAAGGCAGCCATCCAGGATAGGCAAAGGAATATCAATTCTAAGTGAGGCAACCGTATTCCATTTGACTAAGGGTTTTTGCACCATAACTTGATTTAGTTGTCTTGTCAACAGTTAAACAGTGTCCAGTATCTCTTGGTCTTGAATGCTTTTGACCCTTTTACATATCACTCTTATCATCTGATCTGTCTATTCATCTATCTTAACATTGCTGTTTCTTCTTTGAGCTCCTTTCAGTAAGTGCTTAAGAATATGAGACTCTGTCTGCTTATCGATTGAATTAGATTTTCCCTGCTTCCTGAGCTTTCTCCTTTAGCAAATGGGCCAGCTAGGTTGTGTTAGGATAGTCTCATCTAGTCTTGAACCTATTGGGTGTCACCCAAACATATGTTATAGTGACCTGGGCACAGAAATATGGTACATGTCTTATTTAGAACCCACTCTGCATTCCTTGGTGATTCCTCACATAGAATAAGCCAAAAAATGAGAATATGAAAACCTTAAATACACAAGTGTAACACAGACCCAGCTTCTACATACCATAGATCCAGCTTCTTTCCTCTTCCTGAAAAATGCCTTCACTGTCGAACAGACATGCCTCGACTCTCCAACAGACCAGGGATCAGAAGCTTGCCCAGCTCCTCTGTTGCTTCATGCATCTCCCTTATTAGTCTTCTTTAACTTTACTTTTATTAAAGGAAAGTCACCTGCCATCACAAATCTGTCCTCCTCCAATCCTTGGCTCTGCACCTGATTATCCTTAACCTCAGAAAGAATCTCTTTCAACCCTATGACTTTTAGTAATTGTTCTTTCTTTCAGGTCCTTCATTATACTGGTGTTTGTTGCTAATGGGGGGTCAGAAATACCCCTCTTCTCATTTGTGTTTTAGGATCGTATCATAGTTTGGGTTCCCCTGAAAGAAAATGGTGAGACAAGGGTTTGAATTGAATTTATTCATTTGAGAAGTAACCCTGGGGAACATCAGAAGAGGAAGGAAAGGAATATCAGAAAGGAAGATAATAGAATGAACATGATCAAGTTGTGGGCTTAGAGCTCAGCCCCTGGGGAACTCTGGAAGAACACATATCAGAGTTACCTCAAAGGAAGGCCAGGAAGCTGGAGTACTAGCCACCAACTCCACATCGTTTAGAACTCTCTGGGACTTCTAGTTTGCCTGACTTGTGGACTCAGTGTTCTCTCATAACCTCAACAAATCCTTAGGAGAGAATCACGGGTGTGCCCAGCAAGAGGCCTCAATAAGTAGAGGCAAATGACAGTAGATTTGCAGCTATTAACAGCACCTGTGACTGGATCATAATCTTTCCTCCACTGGTTCATAGATGGCTTTGTCTGCTGTACTCAAGAACTTACTTAAAACCACTGAAGATCAACATGACGTACTCATTGTCTACTTTGTACTGGGCTTTGTTAAGTGCTTGAGATGAAGAGATGAATAAAACAGTCTGGCCCTGAAGCATCTACAATCTTGCAGTAAAATAAAATCACTGAAAGAGTCCCTGATTTTTTCCAGTACCAAACAACTAAAGTATCAAGTGTTTTTCATGTCCCTTTTAGAGGCCTGCAAATTATAGTGTACTTCTAGGCCTTTGGAAGTGTAGAACACTCCTTTCTTCTCCCTCCCTAGCACCTGCCCCTCCCCTCCTCCACATTCCCCATTTCACTGACTCACTGATAATCATCATTCAAGTATCAGATTTTTCATCTTTCCAAAGCTCCTTCTTATTCCCCAAGGCTGGGTTAGCAGCTTCTCTTAATAGCTTTTTTTTTCCAAATGTCATCCCACTTGTCTTCAATTATGGTACTTTTCTCAGTGTGTTCTAATTTCTACTTTACCTGCCTATATTTTTCATGAAAATACAAATTTCCTGAGGACAGTGAAGATGATTTGCCCACCTTTGTTTCCTAGGGATCTAATGTTCTGCCAGGCACACAATGGGTGTTTAACATTTGATGAATGATGAATCTTGCATGCACACACACACGTGCACACACACATGGCCAGGTAAGATGGTATTCTGTATCACTAACCACATTTTCTTTGTCTTTAAGCTAAGCCAGAAATCCCCATGATTATGGAAAATAACTCCACAGGAAAGGTGAGTCACATTAAAGCATTTGAAAATCCATAGTATAACATGCCAAGGTGTGTCAGGTCACATGGTTGTCCAGAATGTTTTTTCCAAAAGATCTTATTCCTTGGCCCTGAGCCAATTAATTCCTGGGGAGGAAGGGTGGAAGCTGAATTGCTTCTAGAAACCTAAAGGGAATTCTCACTGTCTGATTTTGGGCTCTCAGAGCATGTGATCTGTGATCCCAAATCTTTAATATTTCTGGAAAAAAGAGTCTCAATAGCTCAAATTTCTATTTTTAATAAAGACTGAAGCAGAGAGTGAAGGAAAAGTAGGGCAGAGAGCAGTGTGAATCCTGGTGAAAGAATGAGTTTTATGCTCAGCAGACATTTAATTTGTTCAAAGCCATTTTCTGTACCAGCTTTCCGATATACATATATTAAGTTAACAAGAAGAAACCTGTCCTTATATACCCCTTAAGAATCTTGGCTGTTTCTTAGACAAGTAGGAGAATGGGCAAGAGAAAGGGGGAAGTAAAGCAGGCCCTCTGACTTCAGTTTCTAGTAGGTAGTTCCTGGCCTCTAATCTTTGGAACCGGAGCGCTCTCGCCAGCTCTTCCTCTTGCTGGCTGTGACCTTGAGCAAATTATTTCATCCTTGTAGTCAGTTTTCCCACTTATATGAAGGGGATAAGACAAGTATCTGCACAAGTATTTTTGTTGTTTTTAAAACTATGTGTGAAAATTCTTAGTATAGAGTGTGGCATATATTAATTGCTCAATAAACATTATTTTGTTCTTTTGTTGATATTACTATTATGTGTGTTAATCAGTTGTCTTGCGGCATTATGATTTCATTCTAGCTTTTCAAAACTCCAAGTAAAAGAAATATTCACATTAACTCAAAAAATTTTTATATCACATGGGATGAGAGAAAACTATACTCATATTCTAGTTTCATTTCTAGTCCCAAGAACATTAAATATCTTATGATTTCTAGTTCTGCTGAATATCAGTAATTTAACTTGACCGTGGAGCACAAATTATAGGTCAAACTCTGTGGAGTGATGTCAGATGAGTATATATATGCATTATCCAAGTATTTGTTTCTTTTGTTTATTTTATGTATTAATCTTACAGATAATTACTATTGTAATTCTGAGCTTATAGAAAACGATTTTAAATTGTTCTGCCACAGGTAATTCCCAATCTTATCACTGGACTTTATTTCAATAATTTAAATAAAACAAATAATCTAATGGTACAATGTTTGGTAGGTATTTTTGTTTCTTATAAGGATTTCCTGTCAGTTCTTGGTGCCAATGTTTATGGGTAATATGTACTCAATCAAGAATGTAACCATAAAATTCAACCCAAGAATTCCAGTTTTAAAAGGAACAACTGTGTCTTACATGTTATCAGATTTCTTCTTCTGTACCCATGCCCGCCTAGGTGCTGAGAAGGAAAACCAGGGAACCTCCCTTCCTGGGGAATTAGTGAATACTCTCTCACCAAATCCACCTAACCAGCTACAGGACACAGCTTGTCTATGGATCTTTTAATATCTTGCCAAACATTATAGATCCCTCACACTAATATTCTTACAATCCCCATTGTATTTTAAATAACTTATGTACTCCTTAAATCCTTCTTACATGCTTTTATCCAGTGATGTTCCCAATGAGCCTCCAAAACAGATAGGGTATCTGGCATTTTATAGATGAGAAATTGGAACCTGGAGAGTCTGAACAACCGGCTGAGTCACTAATAAAGGGCCAAGCTGGGATGAGACTTTAGCATGCATATCCAAGCCGGGTGGTATAATGAAAGGAGTCAGCTTCAGGGGCAGGTAGAACTAATGTCAAATCCTAATTTGACCAGTTACTAGCTACATATCCTCACCAAGTAGTTAATTAACCTCCATGGATCTCAGCTAACTCATCTCTAAAATTGGGGTCATAATAAATATTTCATAGGGTTCTTAGATAAATTAAATTTATGCACAGCAATGAAGTACATGACATATAGTAAATGTCTCAGGAATATTTCTTTCCTCCCCTCTATTTATCATTCACCCACTTTCACTTATTCCTTCCTCTGCATTTGTATTCATAAATCTATTATGTGATTGATTCTAGGAGACAGTGCAGGATAATGAAAAACAGACATAGATGTTGGAATCTGATAGACCTGGGCTGAACTCTTATCCACTGCTTATTAACTCTGGCCCCTGGAATCCCAGTTCCCTCACTTCCTTGTCAGTGAGCAGGGACAGTGATCCCAACATCCCAAGAGTGATATAAGGATCAAATGAGAGAGAATATGCAAAGTAGCTACCATCTGACTACCACTAGTGTTGAGCAGTGGTAATTTTCTACCCCCTCCCTTCATTCCTTAGAAATTACTAAGTCAATATGCAGCTGTTAAATGCCTACTATGAGCTACATATGCGCTATCCCAGCAGTGCTCATTGTTAGAACAATAGGGATTGGGTCAGTCATGAGTAGTGTTTTCCTGCATTACTAGTTAAAGTTTTAAAGTTTACAGTTAATTTGGTTATCCTGTAAAATAGAAAAGTCCCCAAAGTATCCTAAAAATGATGCCTCTCAGGCTTGGACAGGCCAAGAATATCCAAGTGTCACACCTGTAGATGTTATGTTCTTCTGCGTTCCTGAGAGTGAGGCTTCACCAGGGTTCCAATATAGCATGTAGCCTGCCTTCAGAGCTAAGATGGAAAAGGGACCTTCAACTTAAACCTCGGGGTCCTACCATACAGCAGGTATTTTCATTAGAACAAAAGATGCTATAAAGAACCCCTCAGCCCAGGGCCACTGGCCCTCTATGCCAAGCTCTGATGATGCAGCAAAAGAAGCCACAGAGAGATGCATGAAAATTCCAGAGCTGACTCAACAGTTCAGTCTCTCCACAAGCCACAAGTCTCTCTTTTAGGCCTGCGCTTTATATTTTAACTCCATCATCTCCATAGGTCTCATCCTTATCACTCCTAATCTTTATTATGGTTGACAAAATTTAGGGGAAAAAATATAAGGAAAACTACCTAACATGAACCATAGGGAACAAAAGCAGTTAGGGTTAAAAATCCCTAAGAAAAAAGAGAATCATAAGAACCATATAAAACACCATAAGCTAAAAACACATATCGAAGTTAGCAGGATAGCTCTAGTATCTGTTTACAGAATTTGATATTTTGTCTATTTAATTTTGGTTTTGTAAAAGCCTGAATCTTTGTGGGTTTATTGACCTTCTTAAGCAATATTCCAAGTGTAAGTGTGTAAGATTAGTTGTATGTATTCTGGCCTCTTCTCTTTTTCTCTAGCACATTGTGGCACAATAAGGCTCTGAGCCCAAATGCCTGGTCCCCTGTCTGCCAGATGCCATCGCCATTGCAGGGGTGCAGGCCTGAGCTTTCACCACAGCTGGAGAAGGCCCTCAGAGGGGAACCACACCACGGTGGGGAAACCACATGGGAAGTGAAGTTTTAAATACCAGTCCCATTTCTAGGAAAAAAAGTGATTACAAGACTACAGTACAGCCTGGGTTTTTCACAAGCCTGGTGTCTGAACTTCTGTTTGTTCCACAAACAGCTCACACATCTGAGAAGACAGATCTGGTTGACAGAGCTGCTGACAGAGGCTAAGAACAAGCCCTCAGAGGGAGCCATGTAGATGGGGACTGAAGGAAGCAAGACCCTATTATTTTACCAAGATCTTGTCCGCTTTCAGGCACGACAGTGCCCATACAGTACTTAGGCTTCTACAACATAATGAGATACTACTGACTTTATCTCTTCTTTCCCAGCTTTCATCATTCCCTTTTCCTTATTCCCAACTCAGGGTTTTTTTTAATATGTTCTAGAGGAATCATCCAAAACAAAAGCCAGCTCCAGCACAAAGACCAGAGTCTTCTTTTTGTCCTTGTGATTTTTTTCTGTTCCTGAGTTAACATTTTAGGCATATCTTCAGCAGCCCAGGGAATTTTTCTCTTTCTATGGACTGTTAATCTCCCTTTTCATAAACATCTCTTAAAATTTAGTGATCAATCGTTTTTTTAAAAATCTGAGAACAATGGATAGATATGGAGTTAGCATTTCAGAGACGGGGGAAAAAATCCAAAAACTACTGCTCAAATGGACAAGTGGTCTGTGTGTTCTATGGAAACAAAACAAAAGCAACTTAACTCACTAAAATGGACCTCAGAATCAAAGACAATATTCTCTGACCTTCTCTCCCCCAGACAATCATGGTCTCTTCTATTATTCTGTGGTAAATTTTTTCATGAGAGCTGTCTCTCTTCTCCTATGTTCACATTCTTCTCTATCCCTTTTTCTTTCTTTTTAATTTTTGTGCCTCTGGTCTATATTTCTCCTATTTATGCCATCCCCCCTTTTTTACATTTGTTTTTGAGTTTCTTTCATGTCTTCCTCACTAACCCCTTCTCCTTTAACAGACCTTGTGATATGAGGCTAGGTTACGTTTTTAACTACTTATAAATAAATGTTTATGTCCTCTATTATTAATGTTTAATTCAAATGAGTTGTAAAGTCTTTAATTCTCTCTGTGCTGATTATGCATTAATTACTTATACGTTAAGTTGTTGAAAAGACTTGCAAGATTCAGACAGGTTATAGTGATGAAACGTTTTAATAAAAGTAGGTGGGATAGCACTACAACAATGGGAGAAAGGGATATATTAGAAGGGTCTGGAGATCTCAGGCTCAAACTTCTTTGTCCTTCCACCGCTGGATTCCACAGGACAAGCCTGTATCCAGTTCTCAAATCACCACCAGTTTGCATGCAAACACCTCAGTCCCAGGGAGCCTAAGCTCTGCTCATATTGGGGGCCTCTTAGAGTGAGCTGGTTGTGCAGGTACATTCACTACCCAATCAGCTTCAACTGCCAAAACCTTCAGCTTTACCAAAACCAAACACTAGGCATAACGCCCACTCTTTTCACTCATCAGTCGTGACTGGCTGGTACATTCTGCCCCCAAACAACTCACAGACCCATGGTGGCAAAACGGCATCTATATTCAGTTAGTGTGTTTTAAAGTTTTGATTAGCACAGCAGTAGGAACCCTGTAGAAAAGCATTTGGTTAATTCAGACCTGCTGAGATTAAACCACAGTATGCACTCTTTCTCTTAAAAACAAAATCCCACTAAATTGCTTTGCTATATATTTAAGCTAGGACTAAAATGGCTCTTTGCTATGAGTCTAAACTCAGTATTTTCATAGATTTCCCAAAGCCTAACTTAAACAAAATGGAAAGGATGAGCTGGTGCAGGCTGGTCTGTGTCCCCCTGGCAGGCCTCCCTCTCAGCCCTCACCTTCCATTTCATCTCCAGGATGGCCCTTTCCACCTCCTCCACGGCTCGCTCTCTCCTTTCCACAGCCCGCTCCCGCCACTCCACTGCCCTCTCCCTCCTAAGAAGGTCCTTCTCTCTTTGGCTGGCCCATAAAGCCAGGGCCCCTACCTGCTCTAGGAGCCTGGCCCAGTCACCCTCAATGCCCATGGAGAGCTGGGGCCCTTGGGTCCTTGGGTCCTGGCGCTGCCCTGCCTGACTGTGGCCACTCTTCTCCAGTTCCTCTCTGTGCATGCTCTTCAGATGCTTCCACAAGGCGGTGGTACCAACATTCACCCCGGGGCCCCGGCTCACCTGCCTCCCACACAGGCGGCAAGTGGCATATTGGTTGGGGTGGTGCCCGGCACGAGCAGGAGCCAGGTGGAAATACTCCCATGCCTCAGAAAACCGGGTCCCCTTGTTGTGGGGCACTGGGGTGGACATGGCACTCACAAAGGGGCCAACCAATTCTCCCGTCTCGTGGATCTCCTCCTCCTCCTTTACCTGTAAGTCCCCTTTTGTCTTTGTCCTGGTTCTCTCCTCTTCCTCCTCTTCCCGCCTCATACTGTCTCCTCTTCTACAGCTTCCCTTGAGCAAAAAGTCTTAGTTGAACCACAACTAAGGCTAACTGTGTATTTGGAAAGGAACTGCAGTAACTCTTGGAGATTCGCAATAATGGTCAAAGAAAGGCTGGCCACCCCTGGGAGGTGTGATGTTTTCTCCTTTCTGCTTCACTGGAGAGTCAGGGTGAGTCAGAGCCAAGCAAAATGGCCTTGGAGGCTCTCCTGTACCTTCCCCGTGTACCCCGGATATGTACTGATCCCTCCTTGGCTGGGCCAGAAAGTCAAAACAAATTAGTGTGACAATTACAATTACAAAGATCTTCAGTGAACTCAGTGTTCTCTCTACATCCACTGCCACTACAGTGTTTTTGAATGTTGAAAATTTTAGGTTTTCTCCAGGCTGCTTCCACTGTCCCTGTCTGTGCTCCCAGATACCTATGAAATGTGTTTGAAGGCAGGAGGAGCAGTCTCAGGATTCAGATTGTTGAGGATGCCCAGGGCCAGAGCTTCACCAGGTCTCTCTCGGTGTAGGTAGCAGCAAGCACAGACAGATGCTGATGTGAGAGAGACTCTACTTCCTCAGAACCATTGCAACATCCAGTCAGAGGCTAAAATGCCTGCTAGGGTCCCGGTAGCAAAGTTCCTAATGTGAGGTCAGTTTATCCCTAGAGAAGTCCTCTGGGGCTGGAATTCTAAGAAATCCAAACAGCAGGCTTAGCTGTTTTCAGCAGGAGGAGCTGGCATGCACGGAGGAGAAACAGGTGGAACACATCTCCACAGCCTCAGTGTCGCCGGGTGGTCCTGGCAAACAGCTCACACACTCCACTTTCCCTGGAACCATTACCTGCAAAGCCAATAGCTGATAAGATCTTCCTGACAGCAGCTTACTCCAGATGTTTGGCTTATTTATCCCATTTTAAGACTTTTTTTAATGGAAAATTATATTACATTTTAAAAGCAGCCTGACCTCTGACTCCCAACTTGGATTGTCTCTCAAGTGAATAAGAGCCTCATTCATCAAGCTTCACAACTCCAAGCAGTTGGGAAACACCTGCCGGCCACAAGGGGGTACTTACAGGCAAGGGAGGCTCTGGTCCCATCTCTGATGCCTCTGGTGCAGGGTGAGTGCTCTGTGCACCGTGAATAGTTATTAGCCAACTCCTCCCCCCGGAGGAGGGTACCTCCACTTCCTGTTCCCTCCTACTTTCAGAGGAGCCTTGTTTCCAAGTGGATGTGTCCTTGCCTGTGGGTTTTTCTGCAACACAGACAAATGCAAACTTTTTCCCTGCCCCTCCAGCACTACAAGGATGTTCCTGGCAAATGCCATGTAATAAAACAGCAAATCCAGCACCTACATGTCTCCGTTCTGTTTCCAGATGACTGGATTCCAGATGACTTTCAAGCAAAGGACATTTAAGGGGAAAAGGGTGAATATGGGCAGGGAAACCACATACCTCAAGGGCATCTACGGTTTCAAATATTTTGTCCAATTGTCAGACCAAAAGTCTCAATTTGGCTTAGGAACTATAGGTGTTGTAAATACAGTAAGTAAAAAGCCAAAGAACTTGCAGGAAAGGGAAGATTAAATTTAAAAAAAAAACATTCAAAGAAGCGTGGCAAATTGAGAAACAGATTTGGGGTTGCTTTTTATTATATTATGTAAATAGAGTTGTAAAAGCTGAATTGCTATTGGATTCTACTTTGATTTGGATAAAGGGATAATCACAACTTAAGCAAAAAAATAAAAATTTCCGTGTACATCATAAATAAATGAATATACATGTGTATATGTTAATTTAAGAAGAAAAACCTGCCAAGAGGAGACAGGAACATTTTAAGGAAGGTGTACTTGGAAGAAAAAAACCTTGTGTTATATGAGAAAAGACAGGAATGGCAGAGGAAAAAACATGTGGAGACAGAAAGTAAAATTTCAAATGAAAAGAAAAGGGATGGGAGGGGGAGGACAGACTACAAACAAGAATGAAGGGTTGGTAGAGACATAGGGAAACTTTTTTTAATATTTCTCTTTCTAAACTAAAAAGCTAAATGTTTTCAAAATGATTCTTTGCAAAGCCCTTTGGAAACAGTTCTGTCCAAATTCAGAGGAACTAAATATGGGTTATCTGACAAATGGTCACCATTTCAGTATTTCACCTGTGGAAATAAGGCAATGATCAGTTTTACAGACATGTTTGGATCCATTTTTCCTGTCTCCTCAATATCCTAGTGCTCCAAACATCCACTGGCTTTCCTCTGCTTCCAGGACAACATTCCCAACTCACACCTGGCCTAGGGACCCATTTCATTTGTGCATCTTTGTGGCTTCCCCACCAACTGCCCAACAGAGACCACCTGCGGAGTCCGGACTCATCTCTTCCCTGCCCACAAAAGGCAACTCTGCTCTTTAAGTTATTTTCAGATTTCACTCTTCTCTGAGTTCCAACAAAATGTCCAAATACTTTTTGGCATTTATACTATATAATTCTTTGTGCTATTGCTCACTTATTCCAGGTGGACTTAGAATAATGTGTTGCAGAAAACAATGATTTTTCTTGTCTCACAGAGGCAACAGGTACACAACGAGTAAGTGAATGATTTTACCTTATAACAGAAGAAAATGTCTCTGTGTGTGCTTGTATATGTGTGCACAGAGACTTTTGGGCATATTCACTTCTTTTTTTTTTTAACATGTTTTCTTCTTACTCATTTGGGCCAAGTAGGAGTTTCCAAATAAAGACAGCTCCACTTGCTCAGCAAAACCATAATGCTCAATGTTTCCTAAGATGTTTGACTTCAACTTGAACTAGTTTAGTCTACAGTTTTTAAGTTTTAGCTGGACCGGGAAAAGTTTCAGGACAAAACCATATTACTAAACAAAATCTTGGGATATAGTCTGGAGATGCTATAAAATATTTGATATCTGAATTGTTCCATTAAAATCCTAATTCAGAAAGTCCATAAGAGTTAAATCTTTTAAACATCTTTATTAAGTTGACAAGAGGTTTTTTTTCAGTGAGACGATATCTTTGTGAAATAATGGAACCCCCACTTGTTACTAACACTACCATGCCATCATCTTCTGGTGGATTAACTGAGCATGGAAGAAATGAATCATAAGTGTGGTTAAAGGTTTTGACATAATAACACTTCTTTTTCTATAACTCTTATCTCCCTTTAAGGACCACCTTTAAATAATCATGGATCTTTGGCACTTTATTGGATTAGATAAACTGAATTATTTTTTCTTTACTAAATAATAACATATTTTAAGGGACATGATTTTACTTTTGATTTTTTAAGGCAAAAGGTGAGATAATTTCACAGATCTGCATCCCTGCCACTGCATGTATTTCCAATGTGAAGTGTTGAATGGGTGGGAAAACTGGGAGCTGCACCGTTTGCTACCAACCATCTAGGATACACAACAGGTAGCTTCCTCAGAAAGTCTCATTATTTTCTTGAGATTTTTGTAGTCACATACTGAGAGATGCTACACTATACCTCTGTAGGATTTCACCAGAGAAATGTAACTCAGTATGTTTAAATTTGGTTTTCAACTCTATAGGTCCAGACTCTATAGGGCTAGCTGGTCTGTGGGGAAATTGGCACACCAAGCATTAATACAGTTAACAGTGCTTTATTAATTAACTAGTAATCAGTTGGAACATACTTGAGAACTAAGATCAAGGGCTGGTGATATGTACACTACACACATCTCTTGATGAGAAAACAAGGAATTATCAGTGGATTATAATTTTGCAGTATCTCAAATAAAATAATGAGGATCCAATAAGTCTTACTGGATATTTTCACTAAGCTATTGAAGAAACCATCTCACAAAGAAAAAAGTGTTAAAAACATAACCCTACTTTTAAACTTTCTAGTGCTGTAACATAAACTACCTGGTTTTCTATTTCTCTCTTATTTCAATAAAATGTGTTTTACTAGGAAATATTTGGGACTGGGATTGAAGTAACATAGTTCCCAATTGAGCCATCAACCACATTCCACTCACTCCCTTTAGCCATTCTGTGATTCTATGCCTTGGTTTCTCCACCTGCCAAATGGCAACAGTAAGGTGTGTCCTACCTACCCTAAAGTATTAAGATAATAAAATGAAAAATGAATTAGGAAAAGTCCCTAAAAGTCAAAAGTGAGATGTTTATATTAAGGTATTCCTGTGGTTATTGCCACAAGTAGTACCTTACATCATCTGAGGAATGGAAACAACCAAAGTGTAGCATTTAGTCTAACAGGATATTCTTCTCTGGCCTCTGTCTGTCATTGTTTCTTCCTTGTATCCTTACAATTCCGTTTAGTACTGTTTTAGTCTGCATGTGTACATTTGTGATTTTCTTCTTTCAAAACCAAGAATCCAGATTTGCAATATTAGTATTGTCCTGAATTCTAGCCATTAATTTAGAACATAAAGAGAAAGTCTATAGTTCAAATTTTCATACAACCTCTTAAACATAAACACTGCATTGTTGAAAGTGGAGAAAATATTTCCTACCGATTCACCTCTTGTGAGGCTTGGTGGAGATATAAGAGTCATTTGTTCCTTCTAAATTTGCAAATGATTCTTTCTGTCTTCTCTCTTTACCCCCAGAAAACATTTACCTGCTCACTGAGGAACGTATTTCCTACAGCAAATCTCACATGGTTTACAGACAGTAGCTTTCCTCAGCGTGAAAGAAAAGGTAAGGAAATCATTCAATGGAAATGGTCTTGGCAAAGAAAGAAAACAAAGAACAATGAAAATTGTAGTTGCCTAAGATTATCTTGGCATTTAAGAAGAATTCCCTGTCCAAGACAAACATCATCTTGCCTACCAGGTGCCACTTTATGATAGCTCATCTGTCTCCTTCAAAAGGATGGGGGTAATATTTCCCAGGATGTAAGAAATACAGTTGACTTCATCAACTTACATATAAACACTAATGTTTTATTTCACTGTTAGTGAAAGCAGATCTTTTATATGAGAGCAAAACATTTAATTCAACATAAATTTATTAATAATTTTATATTTAATAATTAATTTAGTACCACTGCTTAAGTCAATAAAAAAATTTCTGTATTTTCTTGTAAGAACCTGGGTGGAGTAGGAGTTGGGGGAACTGGAGGAAGTGCACATAAAAGACTTGGCTCTGTTCACCAGTGGCATTAAAAGTTCCTGGAGCAAGAGCACACATTAAAACAAGCTTAAGGGAGACTGTGTAAAGCCATATTTTTTTATTGGTGCTGAACTTGGCAGCCTCCATTTGAACAATCCCAACCATCCTCTGCCTGGGACAGCAGCTCTTCTCCTTTCTCCTGAGTCATTTTTCCTTAAAGTGCAATCTATTTACAACAGTAACTGAATGGTGTAGCTCTCACTGCACTATTTTTTACTGATAAAATTAAAGTGTTATGTTGCTGAATGATTGTGTTAATCTACTTTATTCATTTTGTTGAGTTAATCTACTAGATTCATATTGGTTTTGTTATTAGTTCACTTAAAAAACAGTTCACACAAAAGGACAAATTTCTAGAAAAACATAATCTTTGAAAACTGAATGAAGAAGAAGCAGAAAGCCTGAACAGACCGATAACAGCTGGTGAAAAAGAAGCAGTAATCAAAAAATTCCCAGCACACAAAGCCCTAGACCAGATGGTTTCACAGGAGAATTTTACAAGACATTTAAAGAAGAGCTAACCCCTATCCTTATCAGACTATTCCAAAAAAATCTAGGAGAGGGAAGACTCTCAAACTCTATTTATGAAGACAGCATTATCCTAATCCCAAAACCCAGTAAAGACACAACAAAGAAAAAAAAAAACAGACCAATATCGTGATGAACATAGATGCTAAAATCCTCAACAAAATATTGGCAAACCACATCCAGCAATATATTAAAAATATTGTACACCAAAATCAAGTGGGATTCATCCCAGGGATGCAAGGATGGCACAATATTTGCAAATCAATAAACGTAATACATCACATAAAGAAAAGGAAAGACAAAAATCACATAATCATATCAATCAATACAGAAAAAGTATTTGATAAGCTACAGCACCCGTTTATGATAAAAACACTCAGCAAAGTGAGAGTAGAGGGAGTATACCTCAATATAATAAAGGCCATATATAAGAAACCTACAGCCAACATCATATTAAATGGGCAAAAACTAAAATTTTTCCCATTAAGATCAGGAACAGGACAAATGTGTCCATTTTAACCACTTCTATTCATCATAGTATTGGAAGTTCTAGCCACAGCAATCAGAAAAGAAAAAGAAATAAAAAGCATCCAAATTGGAAAGAAAGAAGCAAAACTGTCATTGTTTGTAGATGACATGATAGTGTGCATAGAAAACCCTATGGACTCCACCAAAAAACTACTTGACCTAATAAGTGAATTTGGCAAGACAGAGGGATACTAAGTTAATATTCAGAAATTGAAGGCATTGTTTGTACACCAACAACGAAATAGCAGAAACAGAAATCGGGGAAAAAATCCCGTTTGCTATAGCAACAAGAAAAATAAAGTACTAAGGAATAAACCTAACCAAGGAGGGAAAAGACCTATATTCAGAAAACTACACAACACTGAAGAAGGAAATTAAGGAAGACACAACAAATGGAAACGTATATCATGTTCATGGACTGGAAAAATTAACATCATCAAAATGTCCTTACTACCCAACGAAATCAATAGATTCAATGCAATCCCTATTAAAATGCAAGTGACATATTTCACAAACATAGAACAAATATTTCTAAAACATATGGAACCCTAAACGAGCCCAAGTAGTCTCAGCAATTTTGAGAAAGAAGAACAATGTAAGAGGGCTCACAATACCTGATATCAAACTGTATTACAATGCCACTGTAATCAAAACAGTCTGGTGCTGGCATAAGGACACATAGATCACTGGAACAGAATAGGGAGCCCAGAAACATATCCATGTCTCTATGATCAATTAATATTTGACAAAGTGGGCAGAAGCATAAAATGGAGTAAAAATAGCCTCTTCAACAAATGGTGTTAGGAGAGCTGGACAACTACGTGCAAAAAATTGAAATTTGATCATCAGCTGACACCATACACAAAAATAAACTCAAGATGCATAAAAGACTTAAATATAAGTCATGATACCATAGAAGTCCTAGAGGAGAACATAGGCAGGAAACTCTCAGATATCCCATGTAGCAATATTTTCACCAATACGTCCCCTAAAGCAAGGGACATAAAAGAAAGAATAAACAAGTGGGACCTCATCAAAATAAGTTTCTGCATGGCTAAAGAAAACATCAGCAAAATGAAAAGGGAACCAACCATATGGGAAAATATATTTGCCAATGATACATCAGATAGGAGTTTGATCTCCAAGATATATAAAGAACTCATACAACTCCACTCCAAGAAGACAAACGATCCAATTAAAAAATGGGCAAAGGACCTGGACAGACCTTCTCCAAGGAGGACATACACAGGACCCAGAGACATATGAAAGGATGCTCAACATCACCATCCATCAAAGCGATGCAAATTAAAACCACAATGAGATACTACTTCACACTAGTCAGCATGACCATCATAAACAAATCAAGAAACAAGTGCTGGCGAGGTTGTGGAGAAAAGAGGACCCTAGTACTCTGCTGGTGGGAATGCAGACTGGTGCAGCCACTGTGGAATACAGTTTGGAATTTCCTCAAAAAGCTAAAAATGGAATGCCTTTTGACCCAGTGATTCCACTGCTAGGATTATACCCTAAGAATCCCAAAACAATTCAAAAGAACCTATGCACCCCAATGTTCACAGCAGCACAATTTACAATAGCCCAATGCTGGAAACAACCTAAGTGCCCATTAATAAATGAGTGGATCAAAAAACTATGGTACATTTACACAATGGAATACTACACAGCAGAAAGAAAGAAAGAGTTACTACCCTTCTCGAAAGCATGGATGGAACTAGAGAGCATTATGCTAAGTGAAATAAGCCAGGGGGCGAAAGGCAAATACCATATGATCTCCCCTATAAGTGGAACATAATCAGCAAAACAAACAAGGAAGTAAAATATAACGAGAGACATTGGAATACAGAACAAACTGACAGTAACCAGAGAGAAGTAGGGAGGGGGATAACAGGGGAAAGAAGGCAAGGAGTAGTCAAGGAACACGTATAAAGGACAAAGCCAAATTGGAGTAGGATCAAGCGTGGGAGGTGGGTATGGACAGGGAGAGGGCAAATGGTGGGGGGAAAATGAAGACAACTGTACTTGGAAACAATAAAAAAATAAATAAATAAATAAAAACAATTCACCCACAATAATGGCAGGATGCAATCCTGATAATATCTGTTTTTTTAAAAAAGTTATTTATTCATTTATTTTTTGTTTGTTTGTTGAGAGGGGAAGGGAGGGAGAGAGAGAAGGAGAGAAACATGGATGTGAGTATTGCCTCTCACACGCACCCCAGCCAGGGACCAGACCCACAGCTTTGGCACATGTCCTAACTGGGAATCAAACCAGTGACCTTTTGTTTTGTAGGAGGATGCACAATAAGCTGAGCCACATCAGTCAAGGCCTGATAATATCTGTTAAATGTCATTATAGATATGCTCTCCTGCTATATAAGCCCTGATTTGATGTGCCGATTCTGTTACTGAACAAAAGGGGTTAGTTTGCCTATGCGCATCAAAGCCAAATAAGATGCAAACAGGAGTTTGCAGCAAAGAAAAGTAAAGGTTTATTTAGGGAATTGGCACCAAGGCCAGAGACACAGATGAGCCAGTACTCTAAGATGTGGTTCTCCAATGGCCTCTAGGTGATAGATTATATAAGGGAAAAATCATTAGTCATGGTAGCTAAGGGAGCTGGAGTTGTGAGCTCTACCGATTTGTCGATTTGTTGGAGCTAGAGCAAGGAGTAGTTTATCATTGCATCAGAGTCTGATGTCAACCATGGCGACATCCAGTCTGATTGCATGAGGATGTGGTTGGTAGGGTTGTTCCACTTTTATGGGTCTGAGGCTAAAACATAACTGAGGGTTAGATGTTATCTTTAATTTGGCAGAAACTTTGTTATCATGGTTAACAGACCTGAGGTTTTTTTCTTAAGACAGTTCAATGCTGACCAGAACCTGATGTCCTAAGGGCTTAATGATTAAAGGAATGGACGTGCAGTATGAGCAAAGGTGGAAGGATCTGGTTGAAAGGAGGCAAGTGAGTCATAGCGCTATTAGGTCAGACAAAGATAGCATGAATTAAGGAGAAAGTTATATCAAAGAAATGAAGTTCCTGTGCAGTTATAATGTGCTCCCCACATAGGTCAGACAGTGTGGTCAGAATTCTACCAGCATACAAGTACATTTAATGCTGAGTTGGCAAGTAATAATTTCAGAACTAGCATTTAGAACATTTAATGTACAGAAGCTGCGAGAGTTCAGAAAGTTATGGCCTATAATGACAGATGATTTTACATTAAATTCCTGCTGCTGTGTGAGCTATTTGGAGGTTGTACTAACAGTAGCAGTTAAATAGGTTTCTATTTCTAAAGAAGACTCACAGAACCCAGAATGACAATGGTTATAAATCTAAAGCTTATTGCAGGAAAAGGATACAATACAGCAATAACACTAAAGTAAGAATATGTATCACATGTACATTTATAGCAAAGGGTCTGGTGACATCAGGCCTGGTCCTTTGTCCTCAGTCCATAAGGGGGACTTGTGGAAGGAGGAACCACTCATATGGCACAGAACACCTCAGAAGTAGGGATCCCAAAATGGAGTCTCAGCTGAGGTCGTTTTGTATTTTTCTGGTCACTTAGGTATATTTCTGATGTGTATCCAGGCTCCACGGCAGAGCCCGCCCAGGTTCTTGCCCAGGACAGGTGAAATTCATCAATCCTGTCCCCAGACCCCCTAGACACATAGTTACAAACAAGGCAACACTCTTAATCAGTGCATTTCACACTTTGACCATGGACCAATGCCAGGAAGGAGCTTGAGCAAAACAGTTCCGGGTGATTCCAGGCCTGCTGGCACAGACCCTCACAGCCCAGAATGTATGGTTTAACCCCTTTAGACTCTATGTTACCATAACCAAATCATCTCCAGCCATGCCTTGGCATCAGTTCAAGGCTCATACCGGAAATGTTAGTGACTAACTTTATTCTTATTTGTCTTGTAGAAATATACATTCCTAATGAAGAAAGAAAAGACAAAAGTGGATTTTTGAACGTGAAGTCTATTTTCCCATTGGAGTATGGCAATGAACTGGCCCAGTCCATCTGGTGTATGGCTCTGATTCCAATGCCTGGAAATAAGGTGTGGAATATCTCATCCAAAAAGATCACTTTTTCTTTGGGTGAGTTGTCTGATTAATAAGGTCAACACAGGGTGGCCCAAACTGCCGTTAAGTTCAGAACATGTCTGATTGGAACACGTAAAATACTCATTATTTCCGTGATATTTTAATCGTAGAAAACTGTTGCTACACTACTTAAAATTATTAAATTTCAAAAGATCAAACATTTTTTGACAAATGGAACACTACTGAAAAGAATTTCTTCAAATAAAAAGTAGCTAATTCTTGTTTTCAAGAATTTCAGGTTAATACAGCATTTCTTTTTCAAATACCATTAATAATAAATCTTAACTGGCATTTTTGTTACCCTACCATAAATGAAAATTAACACTAATATATTGATGATCAATAGAGATCATCATTTAGAATTTCAAAAAATCTTAAAATTCTTTTTGAATCACTAAAATCATTCAATTATACATAGACTAATGGATAATCTATGTATGATAAATACTTAAGGATAGGAACTGTCTTTATGGTTTCAGTACCCCTACTTTGAAGCACAGAATCTGGCACATGGAAGATTTTTATGACCTGAAAATTGATATGTAGGATCATTCTACTTATAACAACATCTGATTAACCTGAAAAAATATTTGACCACATAAAGGATGTGAACAAATGTTTTAACAAATACTATGACAACAGATTGCCTACAAAAAAAAATAGAAATTTGTAATGACAACTGTCAAAAATGCATAAATAATAGTGAAGTGATACCTATAAAGCTTAAATACATTTGCAAGCCATTAATGAAAAACTCTGCAGGACTATTAACATTTTTGACTACCTTCCGATTTTCAGAGATAACATTGCCTATAGCATACTCATAAAAACCAGAATAACTTATGAGGAAAAGAGTTTCTCTTTGTGTCAAGGCCATAGTCTGCATCTTGGGTCCTTCCCAGCCCTATCACAAATGCAGGCAGTTGGTCCCTTGGATCACTGGATGGAGAAAGGTATATGGACAGCTCAGTGCAAGTTCATTCTCCACTCTTCAGAAACAAGTGCTAATCTGATACTGGGAGAGTAGTGTCATCCTTGTGACTCTTTCCTTGTATGTATATGTAAACAAATTGTCCCATCAATTTAAGAGTTAATTATTCAGAAATGGTCATGGGTTTACAATGAAACATTCCTGTTCAACTTTGCCTAATTCCTTAAAAAATAAATACACCTTCTTTTCTGAAGTGCATGTATAGTTAGGGCTGCTATACATCTCTTGGAAGAGTAAAGGTAGCTCGTTCTCACGTAGATTTGCCAGTAGCTTTGGCAGAACCAAATGACTTGAGCTAAAGACCAAATAATCTCAAATTCCAAAGAGAACCCTATTTCCATCATAGACAGAACTATGTTTTAAAACCATTATTTTATTATTTTAAAATTGTGCTTGCATTGTTGTTTAGAGACTTTATTTTTTTAGAGCAGTTCTAGGTGCACAGCAAAATTAAAAGAAATGTACAAAGTTTTCCCTCATACCTTCCCCACCCCAACACACACACATATTCTCCCACATTATCAACATCACACACCAGGGTGGTGCATTTGTTGCCATTGAAAAACCTACATTGACACATCATAATCATCCAAAGTCCATAGCTTACCGTAGGGTTCATTCTTGGTGTTGTGTATTTGAGGGATTTGGGCAAATGTATAATGACATGTATCCATCATTACAGAGTCATAGAAAATTGTTTCACTGCTCTAAAAATCCTCTGTGCTCTGCCTATTAATCCTTTCCCTCCCACACCACCCGCCCCCCCCCCCCCCCCCGGCAAACACTGAGGATTTTTTACGATCTCTGTAGATTTGCCTTTTAAGAATGTTATATTGTAATCATACCATATGTATGTAGCCTTTCAGATTGACTTCTTTCATTTAGCACTATGCATTTAGAGTTCCTCCTTGTCTTTTCCTGGTTGATAGCTCAATTTTTGTTTTTAGCATTGAATAATATTCTGTTGTATTCATGCACCACATTCACCTACTAAAGGACACCTTGGTTGAGTCTAAAGTTTTGGCAATTATGCATAGAGCTGCTGTAAACATTCATGTGCAGATTTTTGTGTGGGCATGAGTGTTTGACTACTTTAGTACATACCAAAGAGCACAGCGGCTTCATTGTATGGTAAGAGTATATTTAGTTTTGTAAGGAACCACCAAACTGTCTTCCAACATTAGTTGTGTCATTTTGCAGTCCTACCAGCAATGAATAAGAGTTCCTATTGCTCCACATCCTCACCCGTATTTGATGCTGTCAGTGTTCTGGATTTTGGTCAAACTGATAGGTGTGTAGTGGTATCTTATTGTTGTTTTAATTTGCATTTCTCTGGTGACATGTGATTTAAAGCATCTTTTCATATGCTTATCTGACATCCGGATATCTTCTTTGGTGTGGTGTCTGTTAAAGGTTTTGGCCCATTTTTCAATCAGGTAGTTTTTCTTATTCTTATTTTAAGAGGTCTTTGTATGTTTTGGGTAACAGTCCTTTATCAGATGTGTCTTATGCAAATATTTTCCTCCCAATCTGTGGCTGTATTCTCATTCTCTTGAACTATTTTTATTTTTATGATTAGAAAATAATGAATATTTTTAGGGTAATTAGGAAAAGCACTGATTTTGCTACCCAAAGAATGCAATATTTCCACTATTACAGAATAACCCTGAATCTAGTATAATTTTAGGATCTGAGCAGATGGTTATTTTTAAACTTTATAATGAGGTTTTATCTTTTATGATAAAATATTAAAGACAATAAATCTGGATGAGTCCACTTCCCCCAAATCGTAGCTTATATTCTGGTCATAATCTGATTTACATCTTTGTGAATTACTTAGAAGATGTAGTTGAAACTAAGTAAAGTAATGTCACCACTGTATCATATTACCCTCTTTGTTATAATTTTTAAATACTTCCAAACATGCTTTCTCTGCCCGTGTTAGTACCACTGGATGCTGAATGAACACTGAAGTAAACTTCTAGTGACTTGTCCAAGAGCCATTGCCTTATCAAGCTATTGTTGTTGACAGGTATTAAGATGAAAATACAGAAGAAAATTCTGTTGTCTCTAAGTGCTAAAGCAGAGAAAGTCTGGAAATATTACAGAGCAGAAAATAGATGTAGGCAGTGGAGAATAGTTTTTGCTACCTTTTGTTCCCAAAGAAGAGTAATAATGTTGGAAGGCTGCAAGATGACAGTACCCTGAGGTGCTCCCTTCCCCACCTATCCCTAGTCTCCCAGGAAGTTCAAATGCTCACTGATTCTTACTTTAGAAAACTCAGAAATGGAAAGGGGTCGGGGTGGGGTCATTGGTAGCTCATCAGGCAGCTATTTGAGTACCAGGGCTTACAGATTCCTGTAATTCAACAGTTAATTTTTTTAATCCTATCCTGCTGCCCTAGCTTATCAGAATGTCTAAAATTGTAGCACTGAACAGTCAATTTTTTGGCATATTCAAAGTGTGTTTTGTTTTGTTTTGTTGAGGTGTTTTGTTTTCATCTGAAAATTGAGTGTGAATACCCCCTGGGGTGGGTAATATCCTCAATATCCTCGCCATCATCAGCTTTGACAGAGATTAGTTTATTAAGTGGATTTCCAACTGTAACTGTTAAGGTCAAGACCTTTGGAAAAAAAAGAAAGTTAAGGGCAAATGAGTTGTGTGAGTGTATGTGAGTGTGCACATGTCTTTTGGGTGCAGAAAGATAATTAAAAATGGATATGTCAATAATGGGATAAAAGAACCACCGAATATTGAGGTGGGATATATGAGACAAATACTTCCTGTGATGTCTCTCATACCCATGACTGATCCTGGGGATCCTGAGAGTATCAATAAAGGACTTTAATATAAATACAAATCACCCAAGGACCTTGTTAAAATGCAGATTCTGATTCAGAAAGTCAAGAGGGGTGGGAGAGGACCTGAGAGTCTGCATTTCTATTAAGTTCCTAAGAAAAGCCATGAGCCACATTGTGAGAAGCAAGGGTCTTGCTTATCCTGGAGTTCATTTCCAGGTGGACCAGCTAAGGGCTGATTCAAACTCTGAGGAAGCCCTGAAACTGATCCTGCTGCCCTGTGGGAAAGACATGTGGTCGCTGCTGCCCACTGCTGGTCCTACAGGCCTGCCGGGCCTGCTGCTGAGCAGACACACTCTGGAACAAATGGAGCTGTCCGAGGCCAGCTGCTCAGCCCCTGACAACATGCAGTCAATGTAATGGTCTGAAAACTAGCTCACATGTTTTTGCTAAACCCTGCATTTGAGTTTTGGAAGATATATTTCTCCTATTAGGTTTTAGCTGCTCCTTTTCACACTCTCTGAGTCTGAAACCAGAAGGATAAGTTTGAGCCTCAAGTTTCATGTTGAAAGCTGTGTCATTTTTGTCAAAGGGCAAAGAGTTCCTGGCAGACTGGGGATAGGCGGGGGAGGGAGCCCCTCAGAGTGCTGTGATCTTGCAGCCTTCCAACATTAGTACTCTTCTCTGGGAACAAAAGGCAGTAAAACCTGTTCTCCCCTCACTAAATTTCTTGTCTGCTCTGTAATATTCCCAGAATTTCTCTGCTTCAGCACTCAGAATCAACACATTTTTCTTATATAGACAATACATAAACAAATGGGCATGATTGTGTTCCAATAAAAATTTGTTTGCAAACACAGGCAATGAGTTGGGTTTGACCTGTGGGCCATAGTTTGCCAATGTCTGTTCTAAACAATCTGCAGAGAAAAACACCTGCACATTATTTTTCCAGATCCATGCTCCAGCCGATTAATGTTATTACTTTGGAAGATGTTACTTATGATGCACCAGTAGTTAGCTCTGTACTTAAAGCTGGTCTTCTTTCCTCCAGTGTTAAGTAGGAATTTGTAGGTTCTCAATCATCATCCACTTGCATAAAATACAAAAATACAACGTGAATAAAACAATTACTTCTGGGCATAACCAATGAGTAATAAGGCCTTTGCTATTATAAATCCCAAACACATCTAAAAGATCCTTGGGTTTCTTTAAGTTTGAGGAAGTGAATGCAGTAGATTTGGGGGGGCAAAGTGTTAGAAACAGCATGCACAAATATCAAAAAGTCACAGAGAACATATTGTGTTTGGGAAACGGGGTTGAAGTACCTTCCTGTTGGACAGATAATGTGATTTGAGAGAGATGTGAAATATGATAGGCAGCATCCGGAAATAAAGTTGGGGATGTAATAGGTGACCAAATAACAATCAGCCGTGTAGGTCATGCTAAGAGGTCCATCTTGTTTGCACGGCATGGGAGGAAGAAGATGGCTATTCTGCCAACCTATTCATATGCTCTCCGTAGAACTCCTCCCACCCACCTCCTCCCTCCGCCCCACCTCCTCAGAGATTAATAGGAAGGAATCATTAATATGACAGCAAGTCAGAGCCAGCTGTTAGTGCCATCTACAGCCAACAGCAATGACAACATTTCCAGCAATGAGAATAAAACATAGATGTTTTTATCATATGTGTTTCTTTTATCAGGTCTTAGTTAAATGTCACTTTCTCCAGGAAGCTTTCCCAAACCTGCCAGTCGTGGCTGGTGCCCCTCCTTTGCATTGCCATGGCCCCCACACCTTCCCTGTCACAGCGCTTAGCACAGTACCTGGCTGCCCTCCTGTCCCCTCGGCTGCAGGCTCCTTAAACATGGCCCATGTCTCTGTCGTTCATCATTACACCCCGCTGCCTTGCCTATTCAAAGGCCCTCAATAATGATTTGTTAAATGAAAAAAAAAAGCAGTTTTGTGGGGAGGCTAAGTCAATACTTTATCTTTCTATTACAATACTTTTATTCATTATAAATGTCTGCTTCATCCTTTCAGGCTCAGTAAACCCTCCAACAGATCCTGCACCCAGTGTCACAGAGTCTACCCTTGAGCCCCAGCCTTCTCCAGCCAACAGCATATCTCCTACAAGTAAGAGTGTTTTCATACTGTTTTAATTTCCATGAGCTATTAATCTTTTAATGAGGCATACTGATAGACAAAATTTGTATCATCCACAACCTTTTCTAACCTTTGATATTTTAGATAAACATATTAGGTACTATTCTCATGGTTTCCAAGAGTTAGCACAACTCCTAAAGCCCTTCACTTGTAGCTCTGGCAAAATCAGGGTTAATAAGTACTCAGTGAGAAATTAAATTTTGTATTTATTATTAAATAGGTTAATAAATTGACACTCCTCCTCCACAGCTATATTCTCAGTGGGTGTTTAAGGAATTGGTTGTAAATGGAGATCTTGTGGACCAGAGGAGGTAGATAGTTTTAAATTTAATTTTTTTCTGATTCATATTAATTTTGAGCAAGATGACTGGTGAGGACTATGAATTCAGCCTCCCAATGGCAGCATTAATAATGGAGGTCGGGCTGGGTCAGTGTCGCTATGGCGAAGGGATAACACTGACTTTCAGAAGCTGGCACTGATGGAAACAAATCGTTAATTTCCATGTCCATGGCCTTTGTGTTTAACAAAGAGCCATGGTGACTTTCTACACACACACACACACACACACACACACACACACACACACACATTCTCTGTAGAGTAAAAGTAAAGTTTTCATTCTCATTTAATTAAAACTATTCATTTTTGCTCAAAATGAGACCTGGAAATGGAATAAAACAACAGCAGCCAGTAGGGATGAACAATTCCTTTAGCCCGTTTCCTTTGTCATGTAGCCTGCAGTCACTGTCACAGGCGATAGCTCTCAGAAATAGAGTGTAGCACAGTGAGAAATGTCTGCCTATCTCCTGTTAGAAATTTTACATTCATCTGATTTTTCCTAGTTCTTAAGATTTTGTCATTTTCTCTTTTAAGTTTCTTTTTCTTTCGCTTCTAATTTCTCATTCAGCAATAAACCACAGTAAATTATGATATTCTTCATTTAACAAATATTAGCATATTCAAAAATAAAACCTTAAATTCTATAGTACTCTATGGATTATTTATCTATTGATACATAGTAAATTACCCCAAAACTGAACAACTTATAAAACATACATTGTCACAAATGGTTTCTAAGGGTCAGAAATCCAAGGGCAGCAAACCTGGACAGTATGGCTCGTGTTCTCCAACGTGGCTGCAGTCAAGCTGTTGGCTGGGGCTTCAGTTATATGAAGGCTTGACGGGGCCTGAAGGCTCTGCTTTTAAGCTGGAGCATGTTGGGAAAAGGCCTTAGTTCCTCACCTCATGGACCTTTCCATAGGGCTGCTCACAACATGGCAGCTGGCTTCCCCTAGACCAAGTAATTCAAGAAACAGGGTGAGTGAGACAAAAGCCACACTGCCTTTCTATGCTCTAATCTCCAAAATTGCATACCATTACTTTTCTTTATTCTGTTTGTTGTTAGAAGCAAGTCATTAAGTCCAACTCATACTGAACAAGAAGATAACTAGACTCTACTCCTTGAAGGGGAGCGTATCAAAGAATTTGTGAACAAATTAAAATCACTTAGAAAATGTTGACACATAAAATGCAATGTGGTTTGATCTTCTTTTATTATGACAGGTAGACAGAACAAGCACTAGCATTCCCATTTTCCAGATGGAAACACTGAGATGATCACATAACTAGTAAGTGGTCAAGTTAGTATTCACACCAAAGCCTTCTGATGCTAAATATAGTTCTCACCACATTAGATACCATGTTTCCTCTGACTGATCTAAACACTTCATAAAGACAGGAAACATATTTGTTTTGCCTCCTAGCACATGCCTAGCACAGAATAGACCAGTAAAAAATATTAGTTGAATAAATGAATTTAAAGAAATGAAATAAATAAAACTGAATGAATAAAAGAACTAATGAGAATAACATTCCTTCACTATATAGATATCATTTAATATACTCCATGGTGTTAAAAAAAATGATAATTTGTTCCTGCCTTCAAAAAGGTTGCAGAGTACTTGGAGAAGAGATGGCATGCACACATGAAAATGATCATTCAAAATCATAAGGTGGAAGGTGTTGCATCTTATAGAATTAAAATTCACAGAGAGCCCCTGCTGATGTGGCTCAGTTGATCATCCTGTACATCAAAAGTTAAGGAGTTCAATTACCGGTCAGGGCACATACCTAGGTTGTGGGTTTGATCCCTGGTCGGGGCACACATGTAGGTCAACTGATTGATATTTATCTCTCACATCAATGTCTCTCTTCTCTCAAAAAAAAATTGTTTTTTCCTAAATGCACAGGGAGAGGTACAGACCAATAAGTCTTAGGCTTTAAGCAAAGAAAGATCTCTATAAGTTTATGAACTCAGATGTTACCTAGGAAAGATGAAATAAGCCGATTCTTGAAGTGTGTGTTATATTTATTTGACTAAGATGAGAGCTTAATAAACATCCTAAACAAAGCTGATAAACCACTAAACAGTTAGTTATTCATTGGCAAAAATATTTACAAGAACTTGAGAAAATATTAGTGGCAAAGGTTGGGTCAGAGGAGTGGCTTGTGTAGTAAAAAACACAGATGGATACTGGAAAATGCAGAACAGAGAGAACCTTAAGCCTCAGCTTAAGAATTCCAAATGTTCTCCCTTAAGAAATGGGTCAGGGACCCCATTAAACATTTTTTAAAAAGGAAATGATGTAACTCGTTTATTACATATTTATTGGGCACTTAGTATGTACCAGATACTCTTCTAGGTGCTGGAAATACAACAGTGAACAAAAAAGAAAAAATATCATGCCATTATGACATATTCTTCCAACTGAAAGCAGAAATGAGTTCTTCTAGCTGAGTTTTCTATGGGGTTAGTTAGCATACATAACATGGTGTCATCCATCTAAGCACCATTCTTATTTCTATGAAGAAATTCAAGGAAAGAAAAAGGACAATGTTACCCTTAGGGACTCTACAATTTATTAGAGCTCTCATATTAGGGAAAGGACGAGAGCACAAGTAAATATATTTGTTACAAAACATAAAAATGCTACCTGATCTACTGTCATTCTATGGTAATATAGTTGGGAAATTTCTAAAGAATCGAAAGACCTCCTCAAAATAAGGTCCTACCCACCAAGTTGGACTTCAGGACTGTTTTAGATCAATGGTTCTCACCAGGGTAATTTTGCCCCTCAATCTCCCAGGGACATTAGATAGTGTACGAGGGCATTTTAAAAAAAATTCTCACCCAAGAATAGGTTTATTGATTTTAGAGAGAAAGGAAGAGAGAGAAAGAGAGAAATATTGATGTGAGAAAGAAAAACTGATTGGTTGCTTCCCTTCTGTGCCCCAACTGAGGATCAAACCCACAACCTAGGTATGTGTCCTGACCAGGAATCAAACTCACAAACTTTTGGTGTACAGGATGATGCTCCAACCAACTGAGCCACCCAGCCAAGGCTTTAGGGATATTTTGATTGCCACAGTGGGAAGTAGGGAGTGTGCCACTAACTTCTGATATATAGATACCGAGGATACTCCTAAAAACATTACACAGCACAAGACACTACAACCTCCACAACAAAGAATTATCTGGTCCAAAGAGTCAGTAGTGCTGAGATTGAGAAACCCTGTTTTAAATCAGGTTTTGATTTAAGAGTAGCTATTTTTTGCTTTACAAAATTTCAACTTTTGTCAAGATAGTAATAATAAATTATTTTGGAACAATTCTCAGTCTGATTTTTATGTCCAAAAAATGTTACATCAATGGCTGAATATATCTAAATAAAAATTATATTCTTATAATAATCACTGAATTACAACTGAAAAGTCCAAATTTTGTCTTGGCAAGCCGGAGGGTGATGATGACTGGCTACCTCAGAAGCTGGTAGGGTTCACCCTTGTGTGTTATTTTAAGAAAAGAAGCAAGCAAGGTGGAACCTGTCTCAGAATCCAATTTCAAAAGGTTATAGTTTTATTTCAAATTCTAGGATGTAATGAACAACAGAATTTAGTCATAATTATTAAGCTAAGTATTTTGCTGCAAACATCCAATTTTTTTCTTCAGTAAAAGGATACATTTTAAACAAAGGTTGACAAGAATGGAAACAATATTCCTTAACTAGAAGAGATCCTTGTAACTGATAGCAAACTTTATGAGTTACCCAGGGAAACCGAGTTCAATTCAACCTGAACTAATTGGTGTTTGCTGAGTCCCAGCTGCATTTTCTGTCCTCGGAAAAGACATGAGGCTGACAAGCTAAGTGACAAGATGAAACAAGCCCACGTGGAACAATCAGAGACACCTGACCAATCTAGGGTAGCACAATAGTGGCGTAACTCAGGGGTTTCTCCTGCCCTGAGGAGCTTCCTGTGCCTTCTACAAGTTATTTATTCAACAACAACGTGCCAGGAATTTTTGAGGTGCTGCAATATGGTGATAAACAAGACAAACAGGGTCCCACGTACACAGAGCTTATGTACTAGCAGGACCCGCTTGCCTAGCCAGCTCATTTCACTGCCCACCAGGCCACAGACCCTATTACCTTTATGGCTGTGCGCAGCCCTTGGACCTGATGACATTGATTTTAATATTAAGCCCTCTCTAAAAACTTAGCTGGTCCCTACATTCTGGAGATTCCTGGACACCTTGAGTTACCAGTGGCTGGCTCCCCCAGTGATACACCTGACCCTTGGCAAGTGGGCCATCACGCACTGACAGGCACAGACTGAAAGAAGCAGTTGCCGAGGGGATGCAACAAAACTACTAATTTATGAGCACAAGCATGTCAGAAAAGGGTGGGGGGTTAAAGTGGAAACTATGCCATTGAATAAGATTAGTCGAATACAAACCACAGGGGAAGCAGACAAGATCAGCTGTAGGTCAAAAAAGTCAGTTCTAAAGCTAAGAGGGGGTTCCCAGAGAGAATTTGCATGGCAGTGAGAAAACTCTGGTGATGTTTTTGTGACACCTTCCCTGATCATATCATGACTGCTTTAAAGTGTCCAGATGCCTCCATTGCTTTCT